TAAAGGTGGCATCAAACTTATCATGAGCACTGAAGGATAGGAGCACAGGGGTGAGATAGTTCAGAGCTCAGCAGTGGCACTGTTTGTGTGTACATTTTAAAATACCACACATACCTGTTGTAGAGCAATATGTCAGGTGTCCAGACCTGGTCCGAAGAAAAACGGAGGTTCTTAACTCCAGGATACTCTGACTGGTTCCACTGGAGGTAGTGGTCGTACCATTGCTGGAAAAACCCAAGCATAAGACTGGTTTCAGACATAAAACATGACGACATGCATAGATAGACATAATGTCATTTTTGTATTTAAGTCTACTCTATACACAACATCTTTAGCCTGTTCGTCCTGGAGGAGGGATCTTCCTCTGTTGCTTTTATCTTATTCCAATTGAGGGTTTCAGGATGTCGCCTGTCGTACAGTTTGTCAAGCCCTCTCCGAGAAATTATGATATGTGTTTTGGATGGTTGTTCCTGTCACCTCTCAGCAAAAGGGGTTCTGGGTTAAATGTCTTGTTTGGGCCTTTTTGTGTCACGTTTTCTCCAAGTACTATGCCTCCACCCACAGAAATATACATAATATAAGGTTGGTTTTCTTACTCTAAATGGCCGATATGAGTGTGAATGAAAGCCTTTCTCTGTGTGTCAGCTCTGTGAGGTGTAACCCGCCTCTTGCCCAATGTTAGCTGCAATCAGCTCCAGCCCCCTGCCACCCTGTGAAGGATGAGCTGTTATATTTGATGCATGGCTAGATGGATTTCGGGCTGGATGAATTTAACAACATTAACTTGACAAAGCCTAGTTGACGATGACGAAATACAAAATAATATGAAGTTGTCGGGCAGAAGGATGAAGGAATGTGCACTTTAGTCCAAATGACTTCAAATATCGCACTGATGAAGATTTATTTATCATGACACTCAAACGCATGGGAAGGTGCTGTGTAGCTGATCCTGCAAGTGATGGGGGGCATTTTCAGGACACAAATCAATATCCCATCATTAGTTATATTCATTACTCACCATCTGCAGCCAGGCGTTTGTGGTGAGGATCTGGTTCTTTTCATCCTTGCATAACACAAAACATACAAAAGAATAGGTGATATAACTTAAAGCATGGGTCTTCAAGGGTCATCGGGGTTGATGCAGGGGTTAGCAGTTATTGTTCTATAATCTATAGTGTTTTGAATGTAGTTTTATTTAAAAAATGTAAATAATATGTTTTACAGTGACATGAATCAAACGTATTATAAGCAGACATAAATCAGACTGTTTTCATTCATAAGGTATTGTATACACTGAAATGTTAACTTTAATCAAATGTATTATGTCAGGTTAGTTAAACACAATAATAACTTGAACCTCATTTTTTAAATTTAAACGTATTATTATCGCTTTCAACTCACCTAATACGTTATGAAATCTGTTGAAATACTACATTTAATTAAAGTAAACGTTTCAGTTGTTTCAGTGTGGGTGTATGATGATGCATTTTGGGCAATGCGTACCACATCCATGACCTGCATCAGAGTGAAGGAGAACTGAACGGTGAGGCTCTGGGAGTCGTTGGCCACCGGTCTCTCCATGGGGTTGTAGTCCCGCAGCAGCTCCCTGAGCAGAAACCGCTGGTGGGGACCCTGAACTGACACTGCAGACGGGGGGGGGGGGGTTCAATGGAGGGGAGAGGATGGGATGGAAAAGAGTTGAGTCACAAAAGAGAAGCAAGAGAAAAAATGACAGTTATAAAGCTGTGTTGGATAGCCAAAGAAGATGGCATGCAGAGAGCAGAAAAACAGTGTATTAACATTGATTGATGGATAGTTTGGGGAAAATTGGTGTAGAAATTGAGGGCTAGGTGAATGAAAGAAAAGCAAGCCAACAGAAGGAGAGTTGACATGCTCAAATGTGGGTGAACAGAGAAGGCTTTTAGGGGTAAAGTAAAATGTTTTAAAATGGAGATAGAGCAGAGTGATATAGAGTGAGTACACAGGCCAAGAGAAGAGAGCACAGAATGAAAATGTGAGAAAGAAAAAGACGACAGAAGGCAGGAGCCCGGAGAGGAACAAATCCTGTTCCTCCTAATCAATTTTGGCTGTGATTGATCACCAGCAGACAGGCCGAGTCTTTCTCAGCGCTGTAAAAATGTCACTTTAATTTCATGCAGGAAATAGTGAGGCCATTAAACACTAAAACACCCCACACAGACACACAGACACACACAGCACTCACAACGATGAGAGTGGGGAACTATCTCTCTCTTCGCCCTTAAACTCCACCCAAGGCTTCGATTAACTTTTGATTCATTCTGCAGAAGACAATCACTTTGATGTGGAGGAGGTTATCATTGGTATAAAAAGCATATTGAATAAGAAAAATAAATAAAAGTTTGATTTGAAGAGCTGCACAATGCCTGCAGGCAAACCGTTGATACCACTTTATAAACTGCGTAGGAGTAGGGCTGTCACAATAATAGATTTATAGATAGAGTATGGCTAAAATTACTCACAATAACGATATGATTGTGATATTTACAGAAAGATCTTTGGGGAAAACTTGATTAAATGCACCTTCATCTTCTTTGGTTATTGTGAATATTGTGACTTTTATGACAAGTGAATACACTCAAACTAAAAGGAGGTGGAGGGGGGTCTCTAACTATCACTAAATACAAAGATAACAATAACACTAATAAAGAGTGAAAAGAAAACCATGAACTGATAAACAAAAACCAGTGCTCACATATGACAACATGATATTATCATAATGTGTATTACTTACATCAAAGCAATATTATTGTTTTTTTAAATATCACAGATATTTTCTGTATACCACAACATCCATACGTGGGAGTGCTAAACGGTATAATATTAATGCACTTCCTGTTTGGTGTCAAATCTATATTCTTTAACTATATCTTAATAAATATCAATATGACTCCAACGCTGGTGTACCTATAATTCAGATTAATAGTCCATTTAGTGTCCATAATGATCATCCATACATTCATAGCTTCATAGATCACCCTTCTTATTTTCTGAGCACATCTATCTATCCATCTATCTATCTTTCTTAGATTGTATCTGATTAGTTAACCATTCTCACTAACAACGCATACATAAGACATGTCGCTAACCATTTTGTTATTGCATTTATTATATTCCTTTTGGATTTGCACCTTATTGATATTTATAAATCTTTATGACTGAAGTCTTTCCTACTTTGTATTGCAATGGATGCACAGAAATGTCCTTAAAGATAAAGCTATCTATCTCAAAAAGTCAATTCAAAAGATTTAAAAGAACATTTTGTAATTAATACCAGCTACAGCATAGTTGTTGGCAAGTGTTTTTTTAGTTCCAGATTCCTATGACAATGCAAAATACAGTAAGTTTAGGACATACAAAATAGGAAATACAATAATGCAAAAATAGTGAGGAATAACTATAGTGACATAAGTCTTTTTTACAGTAAAGACATACAATATCAATCAATCAATCAATCAATCAATCTATGTATCTATGTATGTATCTATCTATCTCTATATATCTATCTATCTATCAATCATATAATGCATCTGATTATTTAACCAGCCATTTATCCATCTCTAAATGCAGAGACACACACACATGCAAGAGAGCACATACAGTATAGATAGCACATGCAGAAAACAGACACTTGTTCGAGCACAGCAGCACTCAAAGCAGCAGTGAAAGTCACTCACCCTGGAGCAGAGTCGCGAGCATCAACAGCCAAAGAACCACAGCGTGCCACATACTGCATTCCTCTGTATAAACAGAGAAATAGTGCAGGAGAGAGAAATGAGGGAGGATAGAATAGAGAGAGAGAGTAAGATTAAAAGCGTGGTCTAAAGAGGAAGAAATGCTACCGAAAACAAGTGGAGAGAGTGTGATACGGTCAGTGACGAAGAAGGGAAAGGAGGGAGAGAGAGAGAGAGAGCAGGAGAGACGGGGGAGAGCGAGAGATGCAGTGAAACGGGTTATCCTCTAAAGAGGGAGATGCTGTTCCAGAGTCAGTGAGCCGGCATATCTCGAACAACAGCTCACATCCACCTTCACGCCTCTGTGCTCAGCCAGAGCTCAGCCAATCCTGCACCTGCTCACTTGGCACGGATTTCAAGAGGGACTTCGCATGTGTGAGTCTATGGATGCAAATCATGGGATTATATTGCAGCAGTAAGTGGATCTAAATCAAATCTTGTGGAGGAAATTAAAGTAGAAAAACAAGAATATGTTGTGTAAACACACTGGGGACCTATAGGGAAATATTTTTATTTAATCATTCAATAATTTAAACAGTTATAAGTCTGTCATTTTTTTTGTTCACATAAACCAGAAAGCGTTTCACTTTGGCTGGTAAAATCTGACTTCAATACATTTACAGAGTAATGCTGACACCCTCTGGATATGATAGTGAAGTGCAAATTATAAAATGTGGTCTGATCTCCCAAAACATCACTATATTTTTTAGATTTAAATAAAATATGTTCCTGTTACGTGTACAAATGCGATAACAAGTTAATTACGTGTAATAACAGGAGCCTACTATATTCTATAGATCAGGCCTTAACCTTATAACAGCACTTTAGTCCCACTCTTACGTTATGACTGTGAAAAAAAACAATACCCTGTGACACATTGCTTTTCTTTTAAAATAACTTGTTTTGCTTTATGTATATTACTTGTATGATTGTTCTGTTGGCAGTGATGTCGTATTAGGTCACTACCATGGCCACTACTTATACACTTTAGGCTACATATATTATTGTATGTTTCTTATTCTTGTGTTTATTGCAGAAACAATATGTTATCTGCCTTGGCAAAAAATTAAATTCATGATCAAGTCAAATAAGCAATTTGATCAGACAAAGCCTACTCTTAATAGAAAAAGAGCCCTGCTTTAGCAGAAGTTATTCACCCTAAATGTTAAAATCACTTGCAGAGGACACGTTCAAAATATACGAACCTTGCCCGTGTGGCTGCGTCATCCGCACGCGACGCTTAGCTGTTTGTCGCGAGCGATGGGCGTCACTTCTTCGCGCACCAGTTCTTTGATTGTTTGTATATCACCGATATCATCGCATTGAATTATTCAACACGAGGCGAATCATAGCCAATTCAGGTAATCTATTAAATACAGTATGGTTCTTTTTGTCATGTTGACGGCTTGAGTTACATGTAGGTTAAGCCTTGTTGCGTTAGCAGACGGTGGTTAGCGGTGCTGCAGGATATAGTGGGAAATGGTGCAGTGGCAGTGCGGTGCATTGAAGGCTAGGAGTGAAGCTAAGGTTAGCTGCAGGAAGAACGCTGTTCTGTAAAATGTTGCTAACCTATATCTGCTAGCACTGTAAATAAGGCTTCACAGTAACACATTCAGGGAGAACATGTCCGAACACGTGTCTCTCAGTGGCTTTTATCGCATTTAAGCAACACGTCTAACCTGTAGCTGTTCCTTTTTTCTTATAAATCGTCCACACAGCTCTCCACTTTGAATATAGTATTTGACCTAGTTTATGTGATTTTACTGTACTCAGTTTCTCACATAACTCTATTTTGTGTAATATTTTCTTTATTTTGAACATTGTTTTTCAAATAGCTTCGTATTCTTCTCTCTGTGTCTTTGAATGCACCATTTACCAAAGCGAATTCCTCGTATGTGTTAACCTACTTGGTAACATAACCGATTCTGGCAAAAGCAGTAAGAGTTTTCCTCCCTTAGTGTTTGACCCTGCAAAATAAAGTCAAGTTTTACAATGTGTAACGTTATAGACGTGTATATCTCGTTTCTCTCACATTAGCCCAGAGATAACTATTCAGAACGTCATAGATCTATAACGTTTACTCTCATGAGTTGTCAGAATACATTTTCAGTGTTTATTTAATGGTTGGTTTGATGAGACATCTTGTCAAACTTTTACCATAGCAGAGTTTGAGAACATGGCTTTAGTCTGCTGCATCTAATATTTCTATGTCGCCTGGTAGATTTGTACTGTAAACGGAACACACTGCTGATGTAGTTAAATTAATTAATTCATATTTTCACGAATGTTTCGGTGCTTTTTTAAAGATAAGATGGACCTTTATTGATCCCCGTAGGGAAGTTCAGGTGTTATAGCAGCAACAGAATAAGAGAAACACAGACATGAGAAAATACACAGGGATAATAAGAATTACATTTATTCTTAGAATAAACATTTACTAACAGTATGAATATAAGTAACATGAGTTAAACTCTGAGCAGGTGAGTGTACATGTATACAGATATGTGAACAAAGTTTTATATATATATATATACAATGAAATGGGCACCAGTTCAGTGGAAAGTCGTAAGTCACACAGTGCCAATGATATTAATATTCAGTGCAGGTGTTTGTTTTTTATAGTGCCCTTGACAGTATAGTGCTCTGACGTTGATTTTGCTACACTATCACAATCCTGTAGCAAGAGCTCAAGGTTTTTACTGTGATAAGTGTATCTACCAAAATGTATTACATTACTATGAGTCTCCATCAATCCTGTCCTCCGTTTTATTTTTAACGGGAGAATGTGATCTGAGCATGTCTCCTCTGACACAGTGTACATGTACATCATGAGAGGATGTCCTTGTAGCTTCACAGTAACACAGATTGACCTCTTTAACCATGAAGCAGTACCCACAGAAGAGCCTGTGTACGTATTACTTTCTTAAGGCCCAGACACACCAAAGAACACGTCCCGACGGAACACGACTGTGTCTCCTGCGTCTTGGCCATGTTTCGCACTAGAACACACCGCAAAGAATTCAGCCGACGGCCAAGTAGCACGCACGAACTGCGCATGCGTGAGTGGCAATAACTCTCCTTACCAGCAGGCGGCGGTAGTGTGAATTCGTCATTCAAAAGAGGCAACAACCGAAAGACAGACTGGGGCTGAAGTCCAATAGTCCATTTAGCTTAGGAACCTTCCTAACGGAGTGAAATGACCCAGAAGTCCCTCAGTGGCAGCCATGATAAGTGCCGTTCCAATTCTCCAAATGAAAGGAAAGGAGGTTTCAAACTTCCTTTATAACCTCCTTTAGCTTAGGAACCACTGGACCTCCCTAACCGAAAGGAGAGGAGAAAATGCTGCCCCACAATGCATTGCAGCCGCAGCATTTGACGTCACACAACAGTCGGCCGTTCACGGACACAAACGATAATGGGAGAAATTATATCATGAAAGTTACGGTGCTTATTAAGCTTTTTAAAACGTATGTGGTTAGTTGCCAAAGTGCTTTGTTTTGAACGTTCATCAGTATTATAATCAAAAAGAGAAATATGAACGTTAGTTTTTACTGAAATGATCAAATAAAGTCAACATTTCACTGAGCTGTGTGGGGTTGTTCAACTTTTAAAAGATGTTTGAATGGTGATATACACAGTGATAGGTGTTAAGGACTAACGTTTATAATAAATACATTTGTATTTATTTTAAGATCTTTTAATAGTTCATACAATCATACATATTGGGATCATTTGTATTAATGTGGACCGGAGGGAGAGGGTGACGAGCATAAGTTTCACTTTCCTTTTTTATTTCAATTCCAACTTTGGTCATGAAGAATATGTTTCTCTGTTGTCCACGTTCATAAAGCATAAAGCAACAGCATCAGAGCACGGTGCAGAGTCTCTAGATGAGTTTACAGTAGTCCCTCGTTCTTATTATACATCCATGTTGTAGTCCGCTGTATAGAAAACTGTAGTTTCCATAGTTTCCCCACAGCAGCAGACGCACATTCATGACGTCCGCTGGCGCATCATAAACACGTTGGATAGTGAAAGTGCATTCGGATTCTCTAAGCACCGCAGTCTCTTCTCCTAAATCCTTTTGAATTCTCCTATCCACTATCCCTTAACCCCGTGACGTTTCACTCAGAGGTCAAGGAATAGGAGATAGGGTTACAATTTAGGAGCTGATTTTTGGATTATCGGAACGCAACCTGGGTGATAACCGAGAGGAGAAGAAGAACAGACTGTGTGATATAAACAAACAACAAATAGCATGTGTGTTTCTTGCTTCCAGATCTCTATGATTAAAAATAAACTCTTGCATCCAGCTGAGGGTCCAGTGCCCCCGTAACACTGACCAGGGAACCCCCAGTGGCACCCCTTTAAAAATAAAAAAAGGTTACAATATTACGATTTATTGGGACCAAATCAGAGACTCAGATGTACAGTGGAGATTAAACTGTTCATTACCTTATAAGCAAATACTTTATATGTTTTTTAATTAAAATGTCACTTAAAGTTACTAAAACAAATACATACTAAATGAAAAAAACTACTGAAACAAAGGACTGTAACTTAAATGTACTAAAACAAATAGGCCTACCAATTACTGTATTGTTTATTTTACACAATTACTTTATACTGTCTTCTTTTTAACCCGCTTTTATTGTGCCCCCTCTCACGAAATATGCCCCCCCCCCCCAGTAAAATTGGTCTAGAACCGCCACTGCTTACAGACATGTTCTGCCCATACGTCTGTGTGCACCTCTGCAGGTCACGTGACCAACCCAGAAACATAACTTATCCTCAGAAATGAAATCGAAACTTAAGTCGTGTTTATTGCGCTTATCGTATTGTTTCCCTTTCCTTACCCGACTCATGCCGTTATTATATCCCCAACCTACGTGGTGCAATAGTCAGCAACGCGTTTTTACCCCCTTGCCTACAACATAAATAAGCGAGCTGGAGATTTCACTGTGTAGACGCTACAGAAAGGATCTCTCCTCCTCAAAGCGGAAGAAACAACTGCGCGTTGGATAACACTTTTGCCGTTTCATTAAACAAGATCATCGTAACTATTTCTGATCGACAACGGGTTCCGTGCTTACTTAACTTATTTACGATATGATTTGTTAATTGGAATTGCGTTTAATTAACACGTGAGTCTTTATTGGTCACTGCGAGGCTACCGGAGCACTAACGTTAAATTCTCTCTTGTTTCACCGCCGCCTCTTACTACTCCTACTGTAGGTGAGATCCACAAGGCCATGTAAAGTAAGAGTGTGAGTCGTTGTTGCATGCACATGTGATTAAACATACACTGGAATTGGAGCATTTACCAGGCTTAATCTTTGCACTTCTAAGTTGACCTGGTCTCAGTGATGGACATCAGACTGTGCATTGGTGGTATTGTAATGTGTCTTCTGACATAACAGCATGAAGTGTATGGCTGCTCAATTCATTGTATTTGAATCGCAATTACGATTATGGCTTGCAACGATTACGAAAACAACGTAATTGAAATAAAACGATTATTTTTTTATTATTATTATTACTTTTTTTCTTTTTTCTTTTAATTGGTTTTTCAGTTGAATTATACTTAACGTTCAGGGTAATCCACTGTTCAAAACATACTGTTCACATATTGCTTTCTCCAATAAATTGATGTTTTCAAAGTAAATGGATAACCGTTTTTAATAATCGTGATATCAATTATTGACCCAAATAATCGAGATTATGATTTTTGCCATAATCGAGCAGCCCTAATAAAGTGAGCAAATAGTTGATTCATCATTTGTCGTATGGGTTGTCATCATACCCATGCTTCTCCTCCGGCTCATAACAGAGGCTTAATGACAGTGGGTTCAGATTTTTGTTTTGTTATTTTGGCTGTCAACTGTTGCCTTGCATCAGGGTCAAGATGAGTCAGCCTGAGCCACGTTTGGCCCCTGGGCTGTCGGCCCCTATTACTGTGATGCACCAACACTATGTTGTTCTTTATTAATGTGGCGGTGTTCAGGCCAGCTCAGCTCTATGTGACAGACCGGTGATGCTGACTGGGCCAGGGGGATGAAATTGAAACTCGGTATTGGGTGTCTCCTTGTTGTCAGTCTCACTGATATAGACATTATTGAGTCTTGTCAGATATGACACTTGAAGCTGAATCAATGTTTGTTGTTCAATAGCAGGATATTGGAATTCAGCACTATGCAGTTTGGGTTCTTCACTTTTACTGAAAGTGTTCAGGTTTCCTCTTTTAAGAAGAGGGGAAAACCTTGCTGTGCAAAATATGTTCCTCATAGTCAGGACTGTCAGCTTGTCACTGACAGGCTGCCCTTTACTTTCTTGTGTCCTTGAAACTGTCCTTTTCGTCTGCACCAGTGTCTCGCTTTCCCTCTCTGCTATGGATCCAGGTCCAGCAATAATTTGTAAGGCCAGAAATAAAACAGAATGGTCACAAGAAGGTCTGAATTATTAATCACCATCCTTTTACCCTGGGATTACGTTTCAGTGTGACTGGAAGAGACCGTTTGTCACCCCTCAGTATCCTTGTACACTGACAGGAGCATAGTCTGGAGATATACACAGCAATGTTAACAGTGTTGATTTATTTTACAGCCTGTCCTTTGCAGATCATTTAATTATTTTTCAATTATACCCTGATGTTCCATTGCCCACTGTTTTATAGTGTATTTTAAGAAGGCCAGACTTTAATTACGTGTCCTTGCTGGTATAGGTCCACTAACTTATCCAAGGACACTTAAGCAGGTGGCGGATTTGCTAGCAGGGCACACATTTGTGTATAATTATTTGGAAAATAACTGTATCTGGCCTTAATGCAGCTGCTCATGTTTACAATGATTAGTTATTTTGTTCCCTTTGATAATCTCCTAACATTGTCCTTTGTTTGTATTGCAGATGCTCTGCTGAAACTGGCCTTCCCTGACCTTCCACCAGGTTTGCTCTTTGTGCTAGAGGACGCACACTCTCACAGAAGCTGCCCCTCAAGCTGCACCGGCCCCCTTCACGCTCCACCCCTGCGCTATGAGCAGAGGTAGAGGAGGGCCCTACAGAGAACAGTACCACCGGCATCCTCCACCTGACTTCCAAGCTAAGGACAATAACTACAGGCCTGGCCCAGTCTCCTTTTACCCTAGAGCTGCCCCACAGCAGAGCCCATACTCGAGTTACTACAACAGCCCTCCTCGTCCTGTAGGGCCCACACAGCCGCCCCCAGCTCATCTCACCCCCCCTGCTCCCCTCTTATCAAAGCAAAATAAAGTCACCCCTAAACCAGACGTCCCTAACAGCTCACATTATCAGAATCACAGCCCCAGTCCTTGTCCCAGTTCCTTTCAGTACCAACAGGCAGAGTTCCTGAGAGGACACAGCTCTGAAGCGCCACAGTTCAGAGCCAATCCGCGTGGAGGAGGCGGAGTCACATCTGACAGGTGGCCTAATTGTTCATACCAGCCCCAGTCAGGTTACAACAGATATCCATACCCTAACAGCAGCCCAAGAGGTAGAGGGGGGTACAGTCAGGATCAGAGGTCTGTATACCCAGGAGCCCCGAGAGGCACCCCAGGTCCTCGACACCCGAATCCTAACCAGTTGCAAGCGCAGAAGCACAACCAATACTCATGGTGTGTTCAAGCAGACTCGTTGTGTGACGATTTACATAATCTATCTCTTCATCGAGAATCTCCCAAGAGAGGAGGAGAGAGGTTTGTCAGACATTCTGCATCGAGCAGCTCAGCAAGTTCAAGCTCGACTAAAGTTAACATCACTCTAACTTCTGACATCCAGGACCAAGTTTACAGGGCTTTGGCTGCTTTGAAGCCGAACGACTGTATCTGTGCAAAATTGTTGAGCAAACAACTGCGTCTGCATAAAAAGATAGTGAACCAGGCTCTCTACTCTTTGGAGCGCTCTCAGAAAGTCTCGAAGCAAGGACTACTCCCTCCCGAGTGGAGTCTTTACAGAGAGCCTCTCAGTGGCAAGGAAGATCACAATTATAAAGTACAAAGTTCACCTTCCCATCTGTGTGTTAGCCCAGGACACCCTGCAGATCCTGAAGTCAAGGTTGAGCTAAAAACAGACACAGAAGAAAGCCGGGGACAAGAAGAAGAAGAAGAAGAAGAAGAGGACTGTGACACAGAATCCATTTCTACCTGCTCCTCCTCTTCAGAGTCATCTGAGTTTGAGCAATCCCTGTCACCAGCAAAAGGTCACCAGCAGGTGAAACATCCCTTCTGTGCTACGAGTTCCCCTGATCCCGAACTCGCACTTCCCGCAATGGCTGAGCAGAAAGACCAAATTCTGCAGTACCTCCTCACTGTAGGGGAGGTAACTGCTCTGGTCATATCCAAAAATCTGGGTCTCAAGAGTGCCAATCGGGTGAATCCCACCCTCTACTTGCTGGAGAAACAAGGTGAAGTCATTAAGAACACTGAAGTTACCCCTAACACCTGGGAGCTCTCCACCCGCCGCAGAGAGAGGATGGAAAGGAGCATTAAAGCCGCCATGAGCCCTCGCAATGAGGGGGGTCAGATGGGGCAGGAGCCCGGTAGAGGAGCAAAGGGAGAAGGCTCTGGTATTCTCCCTTCGTCTCAACTACCGCCAAACCCAGGCCTCCAACCCCGGCCACTCCCTGAGGGTTGGAAAACAGAGGAAAGTAGCAGCGATGGCCACACTATCAAGGTGATTAATTTCATATACAATGATACACAAAACATAAGAGGCACGACTCATTGGCATACATATTAATAACACAACTAAACAAAAAAAATTGAATCTATTTGACCTGGATACATTACTTTATTGGCAGCTGACAATTCCTAGATAATCCAAAGTGTTTCCCACCACGTGCAGCCTCTACAAAGTGATTTATAAGCAGTTTGACAGTGGGAAATGGCCTACACTTTCATTTCTGTTTACAGTCTTTATATTACGCTAACAAGACCGACAGTAGCATAATGTTTACTGGAAACAAATGTTAGGGCTTGCATGTAAACTACACTTTGTCCTTGGATGATGTGAAATGTCTGTTTACTTGATGTATTGAGTTGAGGTTACCAGCCTTGGAGGTCTACCCTGATTTTATTAACCCGTTACCTCTGCTTTCCCCTTTTTAAGCCTGAATCCTTCCTCACCCCAGTCTAAAGAGCTAGAGGCAAACGAAGGACAGTGGGCCACTGACGAGATCCCAGAATTCCTGAACGCCATCCGCAGAGAGACAGACGCTGGGAAACTACTAGCAGATCATGCTAATAGCTCTGTGGGAACTGTGGCTGTGTCGCTGGCTGCTCCACCTCCCCAGAACCTGTGGGCCAAACTGCAGGAGGTGAGGCTGAAGAACCCCGTCAGCGGCCTCATGGAGTACGCCCAGTATCTGGGACACAACTGTGAGTTCCAGCTCCTCGACCAGTCGGGACCCTCTCACGACCCAAGGTTTGTCACAAAAAATAATATGTATCATCATTGTCTTTTCAATCATGTTGTAATATTAAAGCCTAGCTAGGAATTAATCCAGGGTGCTGTTTATAGATCAAGTATTGAACAATTCACTTTAAATACAATATATTTGTCAATGTCATTGTATCTGTAACATTCATCAAGTCACAGCAGGTCAAAACCTTTCCAGTGCATGTCTTATTAAACATACCTAAATAGTTGCATGTAAACCTAACAAAATCCTCGTTGGTGTGATCTGTAACAGAAGATGCTCTTAGTTGAGGTATCAGGAAAGTAAAAGTTAGATCAGGGCATCCCTAAATGTTACAGACACGGGTGATGGAATGCTATCCGTCTTTTCATTGTGTGAAAGGCATCTTTTTGTTCATCTGCCCACATTTCTTACTTTCTGTAAAGCACCTGTTGACTCATTTATCGATTCAAAGTCTGTGGGAAATATACCAAACTTAATGAAGACACATGATGTTGCCAATTAACAATGACAATTTATTTGTACAGGTCTTAGGAAGAAAAATTGTAGCTGCTCAATGAATCATGTATTGACGAATCACTATGTCTAAACTTTGTAAATGTTCCTCCCCCGTGCCAGATTTCGCATGCAGGTGCTGCTGAATGGGAGGCTGTTTCCTGTCGCAGAGGCGTCCAGTAAGAAGGTCGCGAAAAAGGACGCTGCTGCCACCACCCTGCAAATTCTGATCGCAGAGATGCAAGGAGGGCCGAGCGCGGGAGGCGATGGAAATGCCGCCAATGTGGACCAAGTGATGGAGGTACTCCCAGACCCCAGTGTAAGTTCTTCATTAAATGTGTGGAAAAAAGCTCCCATCAGCCATCTTAAAGGAGACATGTCATGGCCATTTCCATTGATCATAATTCCATTGTTGAGGTCTACTAGAATAGATTTATATTGTGCAATTTTCCAAACTCACATTGGTAAACTACGTGTATTCACTGAATTTCACTCTCTGCCTTTAACGGCTCGTTGTAGCTCCAATAGCTCCAGCCCCCACCTTCCCTGTGAGCACAGTGTGCTCTGATTGGTCGGGACGTTGTGAAGCTCCGTGGAGGTGTTGTTTCCTTGTTTAGCGAAACACAGCCAAACTCATCTTGAGCGCACACAAAGTCACAGCCGAAGTAAAAACAATAAGTGTGGCTTGATATTGAGTAAGAAAAAGGTTGATAAACGCTGTGAGAATGGGTCTGCAGAGAGAATGGGTCTGCAGAGAGAATGGGTCTGCAGAGAGAATGGGTCTGCAGAGAGAATTTCGCCGAGATCCGAACTGTCTGTTATCAGCCTGCAGCCCGGGAGGAGAAATCAGCAGAGCTGCCTGCACTGGGCTTAACGTAACGGCTCCACGGATTGGTCCATTTAGTTCCGGGTACGTGCTTACGTAATCTCGTACCCGGAAGAATCAAATGGATGATGACGTTTCACCAACGAGGCGTTTTGGGGAGGTATTTTCTGTGTTAGAGTTTTACTCGCTACAGGGTTTTGACTCTGCAGACCGTTTACATGCAGAAAAACCTTCATAACACACAAGGGGACGGGTAATAACCGGAAAAGCATGACATGTTACCTTTAAGACCCCCATCAGCCATCTTAAGACCCCCATCAGCCATCTTAAGACCCCCAAAGTTGCAATTTCAAATGTAACCAATTTGATATGTAAATGTTGTTTCGCTCAGCCTTAGTAGGGATAACTTCATTTAATGCATCAGAGCAGACGCTGCAAACAGCCGAGTACACATACACAAGTCAAGTTTTAGAAGATGCGAAGGCTGACATGTTATCTGTGATTATGTGCAGCCCTAGTAGAAAATATATTTGTTGTCTCCCGCTGCATCCCAGGTGCCAGCTGAAGGCACAGGCGGTGGTTTTGGGACTACGAGTGTGGAAGGGTTGGGGACGGTGGAAGCACCTCGGCCGCCGCTGTCCCGCTCTCTGCCCGGTGGGAAGAATCCTGTGTCGGTCCTCATGGAGTACAGCCAGCGCAGCGAGAGCCCCATCGAGTTCATCATCACCGGGCAGGCCGGCCCACCCCATGACCCAAGGTACTGACCCTCTCCCCCTCCTCTGTGTCCATCCGTTTGGATTATCTTCTATCCAACACTTCAGTACTGTAGTCAGCTGACAAACACACACCACTGTCTCTGTCTACTCTCTCTTTATTTATGACCTATCCCTTTAGGCAGCTGACTGGTAGATACAATGACAGCTTTTGTGTTCCTTGGGTCACTTTCTAAAAATGCTGCATGCATGACCACCACTTGTAAATGATAGCGTATACTCTGTTGTGTCTCCTTGTTTATCATTAAGGGCAGGAAGTGTAACATAATACATTTCTGTCTTTCCACTCATCCCATCCATCTGTGCCCTGTGTCCAGGTTCATGTACAGGGTGAAGGTCGGAGAGAGCTTGTTTTCCGAGGCCTCGGCTCCGAGCAAGAAGGCGGCCCGTCAGCTGGCAGCAGAGGAGGCTGTGAAAGAGTTAATGGCTGACGGGAGACTGCAGCTCAACAAGGTGAGGACTCGGAGGCAGAGAATAAACTCAAGTTCTTTATATAGGAGGGAAGAGAAGGGCTTTGCACATCTTCAAAATGAGTATAATGTCTTTAGAAAACTATCAGATCGCCCTGGAGGCTGAAATTAATTATTGTGTGGCCTCTGTCAGGCTGTTCTGCTCAATTTGCTCAATACTGTTCAAATCTCTCCTTCTCCCCTCTCCAGCCTCAGTTGCCCCTGGGCTCCTCCAGTGATAACGATGGCAGTGGGTCTGGGACTACATGTCCCTCTTTGCCCCCTCTGACTGCAGACGAGTTGCGAGCGGCTCACGAGGCAGGAGTCGGAGACCTCATTAACCACCTCAACAACAACGCTGTGTCGGGTCTTCTGGAGTACGCCAGAGCCCGGGGCTTTGCTGCTGAGATCCGACTGGTGGGCCAGTCCGGACCCCCGCACGAGCCCAAGTATGTGTGAGCTGCATGAAAACACATATAACATGTACACACTAGACATACAATTCCTCTTACTGTCTGGGAAACCATGTTCTTGGGAAAATATGTTTCTTTGTGTCCCTGGAAAAAATACATTTCTTTAAGAATGAAAAGTTTTGGAACATTATTGAAAGTCATTTTCCGCTAACAACACTTTTTCTCTGCTCGTGTTCCCTTGGGACCTTTTGTTCTTAAAGTGACTGAGAAAAACTATTACATCCTCCTTCTCTTTGCCCCTGCTCAGGTTCACATATCAGGCTAAGCTGGGCGGACGCTGGTTCCCTCCAGTGTGTGCGTCCAATAAGAAGCAGGGAAAACAGGAAGCAGCAGATGCCGCTCTACGGGTTCTGATTGGAGAGGCCGAGAGGGCAGCCCGCACCGGGGAGCTAATCCCAGCTGAGGTACTGACTTCTTAATGGTTCACATTTTCTGTCATGAAACATTAGCCTTCTCTGGCTCAAAGTGGGGGTTACGCAGAGCATAATGGAGTTACAGTCAACACCTGCATGTAATTGGTTAACCACCTCACATGGGCAAATCACACATAAAAAATAACATCTGCACACTCAGACTAACATGTAACCTCTGTTAAGGAGTCTGTTAAGGAGTCTTAAGTTAACTACACCCTGAGACTATTCTACCCCACACCTTGGTGGCTTCAGAGTAACTGAATCACTTGAAGGCTTTGTAGCATAAAAGGTAGTGAATTTGATATGACAAAATATAAACATTACACACATTTGGAAAGCTTTAATAACTTGCTATTGTAGTATTCCTGAGATGTTTCATTGAATTTCACAGCCATAAATACTTCAGACGTACCAAATATTAAATAATCCTCATTTCCTTATTGATTTTGCCTGTCCTGTTTGCACCCCTCTCTCTAGCTCCCAGTGAGTGGCAGCACTTTGCACGACCAGATAGCGATGTTGAGTCACCAGCGCTTCAACGCCCTGACCACACGTATCCAGCACAGCCTTCTGGGACGCAAGATTCTCGCCACCATCGTCATGAGGCGGGGGGAGGGCCTGGGGACCGTTGTCAGCCTGGGAACTGGTATATCCGTCAACTTTTGCATGCATTTTTCCTTGATGTGAAGAAGTTTTATAGAACTCTGTGCTTGGAGGCATATACTGTCAGAAAGCAGAACTAGGTCACTGCTGACCAAGAGACGTTGCATTGGTTCATGCATTGAATATGTTTCTATTGTTTTGTTTTTCTGTCAGGAAATCGCTGTGTCAAAGGGGAGGAGCTGAGCCTTAAAGGGGACACTGTTAACGATTGCCACGCCGAGATCATCTCCAGAAGGGGATTCGTTCGGTAAAAATAGATCTTGCTTTTTATTTTAATTATCCCCCCTATTGTGAAAAAAGACCCACCCAGTCTGCAGGACATTATTTAAAAGTCTAACTTTCTGTTTCCTTTCTCCTCAGGTTTCTGTACATTGAACTGATCAAGCACTACGACGGCACAGACGACAGCATATTTGAGCAAGCGGAGGACAACAAACTTCGAATCAAATCTGACATCACCTTCCACCTCTACATCAGGTCAGATGTTTTCTTTCTCCTTTCTCCCTTCCCTCCACCACGTTCTTCTCCTGTTCCCATTCCCATCATATCCATCATTCTGATTTATCGTTGTTGAATGTTTGGATCAATGTTGACCTCCTCATTTCAATACCTCATGTCTCGTCTTTCTCTCTCGTCCACAGCACGGCACCTTGCGGGGACGGAGCTCTGTTTGACAAGTCATGCAGTGAGTCAGGGGACGACGTTGAGGGTCATCAGCCTCTCTTTGAGAATGCTAAGCAGGGCAAGCTCCGCACCAAAGTGGAGAACGGTGAGAGATGAGACGGACACACATCTGGCATTCACAAAAATGTATCAGTGCCCCGCTTCGATTTAAAGGGGACCTATCATGCGAAATGCACTTTTTGATGTCTTTTATACATAAATATGTCCCCCCCCCGGTGTGTCAGGGGACTCAAGTGTCAGAAAACAAAACCCCCTCTCTTTTCCTCCGTACACAAATCTCTAAAAACGGGGGTACAACGGAGCTGATCCAGATATCGGAAATGTGGACCCACGGCACTATCAGAAACGTTGCTATCAGAAACAATGCCCGACTGTTTTGGACGTAATATGGTCTTTGTTTACATTAGCAAGCATCGCTAACACTCAGAGCTAACCTGTACTGGAGAGAAGGATATGAGAGATGTCTAAAATGCATAATCTGTTTGGTATTTTCAGCAAAACCCATCATAGACATGTTTTTTATATATTTGTATATATCTGAGACCCATAATATATGCCTAAAAATAGCATGATAGGAGACCTTTTTAAATGATTCCCCTCACTGGTGTGGAAGCAAGACCTGTGACCCCTGTATGTGTGTTGTCTCTTGACCCAGGCGAGGGCACCATCCCAGTGGAATCCAGTGCCATCGTCCCCACCTGGGACGGCATCCAGCACGGCGAGAGGCTGCGCACCATGAGCTGCAGCGATAAGATCCTGCGCTGGAACGTGCTGGGCCTCCAGGGGTCGCTGCTCACCCATTTCCTGCATCCCATCTACCTGAAGTCCATCACGCTAGGTAAAACATGGTGTTCTGATAAGGAACAGATAATGTGACAAATATTTATGAGAGGTGACATCAGTGAAATTCGATGACTTTTACGTTGGTTGTCTCAATTTTCTGCCAGGCTATCTGTACAGCCACGGGCACCTCACTCGTGCTGTCTGCTGTCGGCTGTCCAGAGACGGGGAGGCGTTCACCCAGAGCCTCCCCCCCCCCTTCAAGCTGAATCACCCAGAGGTCAGCCCTGTAGATTTTTGGCAACATCAAATGTTATCATCTTGCAATATACTAATTTATAGAAATAGTTATCACCGCAATAAATCGTATTTAATTTAGTCTTAATTTACATGATTTAATTTCATATTCTGTTCTTTTACACATCCCATATTCTATTGACATGTATAGACCTTTTGCACTATTTTGTATTTTATTGTATATGTTGCATTGTTGGAGGAGCTCAGGTCAGAAGAATGTCATTGCCATTTCTACACTGTAGCTTTGTGCTTATGACAATAAAACCTTTGAATCTTGTGGACATTAATCAGGGGTATTGAGGTCATTGTCAAAAAATACTGAATTAAGCTGCCTTCACTCCTATTTGTTCATGTTTCTTCATTGCTCATCTTCTTTACATTTGGCTCATCCATCAATTAACAAAGCGCAGGTAGGTCACTCCAATGCCGCTGGGCGAATTGTGGAGAGATACAGGAGCTGGCAACGAGGCACAATTCAGCTTGTTCCTTTTTTTTCCTGAACACTTTCTTGGCTTTCATTCACACATTAGTGAAATTGGTTTAATCTACTATTTCTAATTGAGGCAGCCGTCACACTGACACTCTGTTTGCTGACTTGCACCAAGGGCTAAATTAGCTTGATTAAAATATATGCTCTCTTCCTTTCCCTTCTCCCTCTCCTCCTGTAGGTTGGCAGAGTGAGTGTGTACGACTCGACACGGCACACAGGCAAGACCAAGGAGTCCAGTGTGAACTGGAGCTATCCGGACCAGCACAGTGTGGAGGTGCTGGACGGCACCAAAGGCAAACTGGACGGGTATGTATCTCCCGATGGCACATTTTTCTTAACGAATAGCTTTGGATTGTTGTCATAGTGAGTTATTATCAACGTAACGACATTACTATTTAGGAAGCGTCGTGGTGCTATTAACGTTTTTTTTTCTTAACAACTTTATTAACCTTCAACAGATTCAAGTCAATTCTTAACCCAAGCAGAGATGGATTTACCCAGACGCTCAGTGTGCCTCCAAAACGATTTCCAAAAATGTGATTATTTTTTTTTCGTGTATAAGTTATTGCTCACGGTGGAATTGATACAAAGAACATCATTGTGAAGAGATATCCCTGGGATTGTGTTTGTTTGAAAATGTATTATCTGTACTGTATCACAATCAGTTTAAATTGGGTTTGCACTCATGTCACAAAGAAATATAAGATGTGGTAAATTATAAATTACGCTTAACAAAACAAACAGGAGAGAACCCTTGGCAACTATGTTTTTATTTTGAATATCCTCAAGTGCTCTGTTGTATTTTAGTAAAAGCTAAGTAACCACAAGCTTAATTCCATTTGAATGTAATGGCCCAAAACAGCGAGCAGCAGTTAAACAAGCTAAATAAGAAGCAGTGAATGATCAGTTGTGCCAGTTTTCTTTGTTTTATGAACTCTTTCACTGAACATCCCTCTATTGTCTCCCCTCCAGCAACAAGCTGAGCGTGTCCAGGGTCTCCAAGTCCAACCTGTTCTGTCTGTTCCGCTCTGTGTGCCAGAAGAGCGGCCGCACTGAGCTCCTCTCCCTGCCCTCCTACTCCCAGGCCAAGATGTCCGCCACGTCCTTCCAGCTAGCCAAGGATCTTTTCTTCCGAGCTCTCAGCAGCCATGGTTACGGCGCCTGGATCGGCAAGCCGCTGGAAGAGAAGAGCTTTGACTCCGGCGAGGAGAACGCGAACAATGGATCGAGTTTACCTTTTGGGTTCGGCAGCAGTAGAAACGGAGGAGCAATGGAGATCAAGCAAGAGGAGGCAGTGATGAGCACATCTTAAAGGGGGAAACATAAATATGTGAGGGGGAAGGGGGGGGCAGCATAGGGCAGATGGGAAGGGTGGGATCAAAGGAAAAAGGGACAATCAAATGTAGCCAGCAGAAGATACAGTCCTGTGTCCTCTGATGGAACATGGTGAGAGGCTATAGAGGAGAGCGATTGAAAGTGACATGAAGGAGAGCAAGATGTAATTGGCTGAAGGATGAGGAGGTCATAGAAGAAAGACACACCTCTCCAGACACTACATACAAAAAAATAATTAGTTAAAAGTCAGTAAATCACTGTGGTAAACACTGCAACAAATCTGGGTTGTATTAGTGCATACTGTTTATACTTGTGGGTTAAGTTGTCATTTTTATTTTGTCATTGTAGTGTTTGGCATATGCTGCTATTGTTTTTCCACCGTTCTACTTGAGATATAAACTCATTTTTGCAGGATCTTTGACTGTTGCAATTGCAGTATTGACCCAGATAATTTGGCCTCTTGAGATGGTTTGTTGTCTAATTTGGCCACGAGAGCTCAAGTAGTTGACAAGTGCTGCTAATTGGCATTCAACGTAATATGACCCACCTTTGTAGTGGTGTTTGTAATTGTGATGACATTCATTTAGAGTTTTAAGTATTCTGTCATGGAGTGCTTGTTATATTTCCGGCTCTCTATGTTTTGCTGCATGGAAATACAAACAGCTGTTTCTAGAACCAAGAGCAGACACATCGGGACGCCCTCAGCAGGAATCTTGATTTTTTTTTTAAATTGCACTCATCCTAGATAGATGTCACGAGTAAACTTGCAAATGAGTCTATGCTCTGCACAGTGCCAGCTTGTTATGTACATAAGAAGACTTTCGCTTTGATCAGTGGCGAAGTAAACATTTACTCACTAACAACAACTCTCGATCCAGCAGGCCCCTTTAAGTAACATTTGAACTTGCCGTACACCCTGCATCTATCCACATGTCGTTGCATTGTCTCCATTAGCGTAGCGTAGGTCAGCGCGCCCCTTTGATCAGTCCTATGATTTCTCTGTGCTTATAAAGAATAACTGATGTCATGACCTCTAAGAAGTACAATATCTCTGTTGTTGTTGCTTTTGTGATTTTAAGTGTTTTTCCTTTTAAATTTTCTTCACTTCTGGCAAAATGCTCATCAGTAGCTGGCCATGCTAGCAAAAGGCTTTTAGGCTCTCTAGCATGGCCGGTTGTTGAGGACGGCTGGGTCACGAGGACAGTTTTGTTGTCTAAGCAGAGTGTGGTGTTGATTTTGTTTTATGTAGATCGAAGGTGCAATATATACATCAGGTATATACAAATACATTTACACAGAGATGTTACAGTGGGGGCCAAAAGCCTGAGTCCAGTTCAGGGAACTTGTTTTTTGAAAACGAACAGAAAGTCAAATACTTAATTTCTCCAAATATTGCATGATGTTTTTATAATAAATGCAGGTAGGTTAAGGATTTTGTATTAATCTTTTATTTTATTTTTTTACAATTTTGAGAATCTACTATTATCTGAGATGTGCTTTGATATCTTGATGTTTAATGTACTTAAATTAGAAGCTTTGAGAGAACAACACTTGTATACGTTTTGTAGTTTTCATCATTTACATGTACAGTTCTCGGTAGTGGACTCAGACTTTTGGACCCCACTGTATTCGAAATTGATCTTAAAGTATTAAACTGTAAATATGTCTGTGTGTATGTATATGTATACGGTTAATGTATATATTTTGTAAATCATCTGCAATTGCTTTTCTATATTTCGTTCCTGATGTTTGAACTAAACTGCAATGGAATATGCTGTTTTTTTACCAATGATGTTTGGAAAGTTACGAAAAATTAAAATTAGTAGCAAGGATTGATGCTTTTCTGGTGCTTTATTTATCGCCTACTTCCTTCTCCAGAGCAGTACTTCCCCCTCTTTGAGTAGTCTGAATGAAACAGGCTCTGACATCTTGGAGGGGGGATTGTGTCAGAGCTGCTGTTGACTTTTATTAAGGGGACTGAAAATGTGTCTGCTCCGGACTCCTCATCCAAGGCAAAGTTTGGGCTAACATTGATGCAGAAACGAACATTGGAAAGACGTTTTCTAGACTGAAAGTTTGAGTGCCCAATGAGATGCTAACTCTTCTACAACAGGGGCTGCTTTCCTCAGGGTGGCGTTTAGATCCAGTCTTTCCTCAGATTCTGTTGCAATGCTCCAAAGGATCAGCAGATGGAAACATGTCCTCACCTCGGGGCAGGACGCTGGGTGGATGACGGGGCTACATGGATCTAGCCCTGGGTGATATCTGTAGTGGATGCATGACAAAATCTGTGAGTAGAATTCCTTATCAAGATCCTTTCAGTGCTAACATTCATTTGATCTATAGGCATTACAGTATATTTTGTGGACTCCTTTAAATAATTACAATACACATTGTTGTCCTTATGCTTTAACTTTCAGGAGTATGGTTATGTTCCTGTAATTGCTTAAACACATTTCTTGTTTTTTTCTTGTTTAGAGATTTAAAACCAAGGACAATTAAGCTACTATGAACATCTTCTTTAGATTAGTGACATTTTCGACCTTGGTGGGAGAAGTAGTAATAGCACAGTGTAGCCATACTGTTACAAGTCAAAGTCCTGCATTTCAAATGTTACTTGAGTAAAAGTCCAAGGGTATTAACATATCAACTTGCCATTTCATAACGATTAACATTATATTATTGGATTATAATTACTGTTTTAATGTGTCCATCACTTTAATGTTGTAGCTGTTACAGATGGAGCTTTTTTAATTACATTACACAACACTGGGTTTTATGATATGTTATATTTTGTATTAATCTGAATCCGTCAAGTAGTTGTGTTGTATAAAGTATTCCCTGTGAGATAAAGCAAAGTAGAAGTATAAAGTAAAGGGAAATGTAAAAACTAAACTCAGAACTAAAGTACACATATCCTAAAATTGCACCTTAGCAAAGTATTTTATTAAATGTAGTTACTATCCACCTCTATTTTTTGTTAGGACAGTAGTATGTTTCGACTAAACTTTGTAAATGAAAACAACTAGAGATAGATAAAGATAAACAAATTAGTAAAAGACCAAGGGGGAGTAATAGTAAGCAGTAAATAAAAATCAGGGGGGATGGTGGATTTTATCATATGGGGACATAATTTGTGCTGATAACCCGCAGAGGATGAGAGACCAACCAGCATAAAGATAATTATTATACTCCTAAAACAACATGCATGTTATGGATGTTCAGATACTCCTTTCATTGCTCTTGACCAAGGCACCTCAGAATTAGAGTCGGTCCCCGGGCTGCCATAGCACCACTAACATTTAGGGTCAAATGCAGAGGACAATTAGTGCAAAATCTTTTTTTCACTTTAATTTAAAGGGGGGGGGGATACAAAAATGTGGTTATAATGGAAGTATATGGTACAAATCTTGTAGGTTAACAGTCCCTCATTTATTATTCAGATGGATCAACTGATTATACTAATAATAAAGTCAAAATAGTTTTTAGGAATATTGAATTATAGTGTATTTTTTCAAAAAAGCAGTTACTGGTATACGATCAAAACTGGTATCTAAAGGGTTACATTTGTATCGTAATTAATCAAATCATTATGTAAATTCTTCATGAAAAATGTGAGGAAAAAAATTATTGATCCGTCATCATTTTATTGCATTTCAAATACAAATATTTTATGTTAACATTCCCAATGTTACTTTTTTTAACAGGGCATTAAGTGCAAATTGAAATTGTTTACAAAATATGAAAATATATTAAAAGATTATACAGATAATACAAAATAGGACCAATGTTGTCAATGGCTGCCTACTCCACTCTCCCCCATCTCATAGAAGTTTCCAAAGATTTTCATAATCATGCTTTTTGGTCTCAATTTTTCTGGCTCTTGCTTTCGGATTGTTAGCTAAGCAATGGCTTTGAAGCCAAGTCTTGACATACCTCTGGTCTGAACTTGTTCAGTGGAGGGCCAACACACTTGATGAAAAGCAAGGCTGACATGCTTTTTACCTCTAGGGAGCTTCTAGTTGTGGTTAAAATGTTCATCTGACTAAACCCACGTTCACACTCAGCTGTGGAGATGACCAGAGTGTTCACTGCTTGAAGGAGGGGTTTCAGCTCTTCTGGTGCTGGTGGTATCATTTCATCAACAGTTTTGAGTCTTACCAGCTAGAACACGAGAGAAAAACGTATAACTCCAAACTAAGTTGTTATTGCTGCTTATGTCCATAGATTCCACCTTTGGTGACTAAAGTAGTGAGTAATGACTAAGATTACTGACTCTCGACTTACCTGAAATGTTATTTTTAGTATTTTTAAATATGAAGTCCCTCAGATCGCGTTGTCCTCCTGGTCGCTTGGCCATTAGACAATTAGACATTAGACAATGCTAACATTTTGGCAACAACTATTTTCAGGTCATTATCTGCATTTGAAACACATTAACATCACCCTGAAAATAAAGTCAGAAACTCAATACCATCATAATATGTCAAATTAAAATGTAGAAATTGCATTTATGATACTGTCTCACATCCGCACAAGCCGGTTTGAGTTTATTTACATCAATTAGTTTGAAAGCACCAGGATGGTGCTTTCAAACTAATTGATGCAAATAGGAGCAAACTTACCCTTCACTGAACTGAAGGGTAAGTTTATTCATACACAATTTTTAGCTGGACAGCAGATATTGTGAGACCTGCAGACGCAATGATGTCCAACCGCTCCTGTACGACTCTCTTTTTCTTTCTTACTATGAGCTATAGTTTCTCTGGTTCCCACTGTTTCTGTGCTTTGTCAGTTTTTATTATTACTGCTATTGTAAAGCTGTTGTGGACAATATGCTGATACACATTTTGTATTGGACTGTTTGCAGTGTATTATTGAGTCCTACCCGTATTTTTCCTCCAACAAAGCACCATTCATGCCAGTGCTCTGTTGTGGCTGTACCTATTGAGTTTAGAGCTTTTCATTACTCCAGAAGTCAATAACAAATGGACACCTATCTGTCATGTAGCTGTTTCCTTTGCAAGGTTTTAAAGTTTTTTGGGTGGAAAACTCTTACAAAAAGAGTGAAAACTGATGATATTGAGATGTAAAGTGTGATAGAGAGATCAGTAATGTCAGTCAAGCAGGGTTTATTTCCTAATTTGTAATGGATCATAACAAAAAGCAGTTTTTCAGATGCAGCAGTTTCCAGCAGCTGCCTTTCGCCCTGACACTCAACCAGCACCATTACATCACATCTTAACCTGAATATTATTTATACATAAACAAAATAGAAATGAATTTTGCCTGATAAGGATTCAATCAAATTCGCAGTTATAGAAAGATATACATAACAATAATTTTTTCTCACCGTGATATTCCATGTTATGAGGGATAACCTCATGTTTGCATGTTATATTATTTTTGACATCAGCTTCATGAAATTAATCACATGAGAAATATGATGACTAATACATAAATACATATTATTAATAGTTACTCTAGTTATTCAGTGTAATCCCTCACCTTCTTCTATCCTTAGATAGATAGATAGAATTGGAGGGATGTAACCCTCTTTAATGGTCACACATGCAGAGCACACAGCACAGTGACATTTGGCCTCTGCATTTAACCCATCCTAGTACTAGGAGCAGTGGGCAGCTATTGTACTACGCCCGGGGAGCAATAGGAGTGGGGGGGTGTCCGGTGCCTTGCTCAAGGACACTACGGCAGGGCCCAGGAAGTGAACTGCGACCTCTCCAAGTAGCAGTCCACACTCCATATTTAGGTCTGGTCGGGGACTTGAACCGACCAGTTGAACCGGCGACCCTACGGCTCACAGTTCAAGCCCCTACTGACTGAGCCACTGCCGAACACACGATATGCCAGTGTTGGGCATTATTTATTATTCTATTGTTGACATTTTACAACAACCAGGGCCAACTTATGTAGGCCTCTTTGTTAACGTTTTACTTCAGAATGCCTTCTGTGGGTTTTTTTCTCCATAATTTACATTAAGCAATTCATCCTGTGTGCATCTGTTTGTTGAGGATTCCATTTTGTTTAATAAAAGCTTATGAAAAGGCGAATAAGAGTTGGTTTTATATCATGCAGACGGTTTCAGAATAACATACTTGTGGGTTGGACACATTTCAGACCGGCTGTGTTATTATTGTGCATTAAAACTAATTGTTGCAAATTCGAAAAGATAAATGGTTTTGCAATTATGGAAACTAACACAGAAAGTTGGAGAGTTGTGAAGACTTAAATTGGAAAAAATGACTCAAACATGTATTGTTGACCGCTCAAACGTATGGTAGATTTAAATCATTAAATGTCAATTGATGACATTATAAACTACAACAGTATGCAAGTGATACAGTGATAGAGCCATAAACAAATGAAGACACCCATGTTGATTTAAACTCAATCATTTTTATTTTTTATTTGCCAGTATTGAAGGGCCTTTGAAAACCAATTGACAGTAAGACAGTAAACATCACATTCTCGTGTAGGGAGTGTAACATTATGCCATTTTCACTTTTTTGAGCAGACTTCCCAGTCTTGGCCCTTGCCAGTGTTGTTTTGGTAGCAGCAAACGGCCACTTGTTCCACACAAGAAGAAAAGTCTCTGAAGTCGCAGAGATTCTTGTCGCATTTTGTAGTATGGAGCTTTTCCTGGGGAAAATAATATTACTGTTACAGTTTTTATCGATTGCTAACACACTAAAATTATAGATGAAGCACAATTATTTTAACTGACACTCAAAGAGCAAAACATCGGCTCAAATCTCCAAAACTCTAAACACGTTTTCAGCTTTTCACACAATTTGCATAATTAACATGGCACT